AAATTGTTATTAAAAAAAATTTTTTTAATGTTTAGTTTTGAGAGAGAGAATGTGAGTGGGAGAGGAGCAGAGAGAGAGAGGGGAACACAGAGCCCGACACGGGGCTCAAACCCAAGGACCGTGAGATCATGACCTGAGCTGAAGTTGGATACTCAACTGACTGAGCCACCCACGTACCCTGAAAATTGTTATTTTTTTAAAGTTGATTGAATTAGTGTCCTTTGACCCAGTAGTTTTACTCCCTGGTATATATGCCCCATCAAAATGTATGCACTTACGCACCAAAAGATATGCATAAGAATGGCATCGAATCATTATTTGCAATCGTCCCAAACTAGAAAACCTAACTGGCTATTTATAGAATAGATCAGTAAATTATTCATACAAAGGACTGCTGTACAATGAAAAAAAATTGCTACACACAACATGAACGAATCTCACAGAATGTTGACTAAAAGATAAATAGTATATACTCTATGATCCTATTTATATCAATATAAAACCAGAAAACATAAATCTTATCTTGTTGGAAGGATAGTAGTTGCCTGAAGGATAGAAGGAATAATGAGTTGACAGAGCACATAAAATAATTTCTGATAATTTTTATCTGCATTTTCATTACTTGGGTGTGTTCACTTTGGGATAACCCACTGGACCTGTATACTTATCATTTGTTACTATTTGTATACTTTTGAATGTGTATTCTATGTCAAGAAAGTTATTAAAAAACAAAAAACACGCCAATGTGCCTGACCTGAATGAAAGTGAGGAATGTGGAAAATGGTAAAACTCTAAGATGAGGGAGCTAAAAAGGGACCAAATCACATAGAGCCTTATTGGCCATGAGGAGGAAATTTGGTAATACTTTAATGTGATGGGAAGTCACTGGAGAATTTTGGGCAGGAGAAAACTTTAACTGATTTACATTTATTTAATAAGCTTCCTTGGCTGCTGGGTAGAGAATGGATTGTGGCAAGAACAGAAGCAAGACTAGCCCAGGCAGAGATAGTAGTGACTTCAACTTGGGCTGTTACAGTGGAGATGTGAACCGTGGCCTGATCCAAAGTATATTTTGAGGTAAGAACTATCTAGACAGGTTCATAGATGAGATTGGGAGATCAGAAAGAAAGAGGATGGTGCTGAGGTTTTTGTCCTGACCAGCTGGGTGAATGGTGGTGCTATTTACTGAGGGAGCCACTCATTTGAGGAGATTTATTTCTCAATTTATTTCTCAATAAATCAAGAGATTTATTTCTGATATATGAACATTGAGAAAAATACTAGAGCTTCAAATGGAGATGTGAAATAGGTGGCTAGGTATGCAATTCTAGAGAAATCAGGATGGGGAAATAATTTAAGTCGTTAGTGTTATGGTGCTTAAATTCCTGGGGCTCTTGGAAGAGATCACCTAGGGAACAAATGTAGAAAGAAGAGAGTACAGGTGAAGTGGAACAGAGGAAAGACATCTGATCATGGCGGGGGGGGGGGCGGGGAGGAGGGCAGATCAACATTTTGGTGTCAAGGAGAAGAACAAGAACAATTAATGAGATACAAGGAAAACCAGAGAGTGATGGTATCTCAAAGTCAAGTTAAGTGTTTCCTGATGTAGGGACTAAACAGCTCTGCCAAATGCTACAGATACAATCCAGTTAGATGAAATGAGATTTGACTAGTGGGTTTGGAAGGATGCAGGGGGAGTATTTGAGAAGAGTCAGGAATAAGAATGATATCTGACATTTGGGGAATAAATCTGTACAGTATAACCATTAATCCAATAAAATTTGAAGACTTTGAAGCCTTTTTAGTCTAGCAAAGGAGTTTAAAAAGTATATAACAGTAAATTTTTAAAGATTCAAGGGAGAGCTTATTGTAAACAACCTATAATGGATTCTTTTATATAAGATACAAAATTTAGATATGAATCTGCCATGTAGTTGCTTTATCCCTTTGAACATTGATCAGCATTTATATTTGTAGTATCTCCAAGTGAGGTGGCTTGCATTTTCCCAGCTTTCCTCTTAATTGAAAGGCTTTTAAAATTGGCTCTTAATGGTACTTATGGCAAGGATCTCTTATTCTGAAAGCTTGTCATTATTAATTTTTTCTAAAATCTTGAAGTGTTTGATTTCATTCATTGTTTTTTCAGCTATGGGTGAAACAAAAGGTATCCTGTAACAACAAGATAAAGCACTGAATCAATGAGTACAGGATCTGTAGTTTCTAGATCAAAGAATATGGGGCTCATAAATTTCTTTCTCTATTGATATCAAGAGGTAGATAAGGCCCTGTGTAGAGAAGTTGGGCTGTTAGGTGGTTCTCTTGCCAAGTAAGGAGGATTTCAGGAGATAGAATGGAAATGACTAGTCAGGGATGAGCTCTGTTAGCAGGAAAAAGGGCACAAGGCAGCTTATACTGTGTGATGCTGAAGCTTGACAGGATGTAGATCTGGTTCTAATCAAAAATGTGGTGAGAGACTTTTTTAATTGAAAACATGGACTTAATGAAACAGATGCAGAAAAGAGAATGGAGCAGTTATTAGACAAGCACAGTGATTACACAGGAATCCATAGACAAAATCTGTAGCGTAGCTACTTGAACTGCAAGTGTGGACTTGAGGCAAATTTAAGTAGTATGTTTGTCATTTTTTCTCTCCAACTGTCTCCGCTGCTTTTTGTATGTTTGCTTTGTTCTCTGTGCTGTACAGGCTGCATGCAGCCTTCTCCATTTATTTGTCTTCACCCTATGTAGTTTCTGCTTTAACTTGGCTCACATGTCTTCGGCTCAAATTTCAAATGACCTTTAAGCTTTGGCTGTCATCAACTCACAGCTGCCCACCATTTTTTAGTTTAAATACCTGACAGTGAGAATCTTGTCTAATGCACTTTTCTTTCTCCCCCTTTGCTCCATGGGCCTTACAGTTCTGGTGTAAGGTGCCTCCATTGGGTGCCCATCCCTAGTTCAGCCACCGCTCAGGGAAGGGCAAAGTCTCTGGGCAGAGAAGTTTCCCACAGAGAAAGGGCAGCAATGGGGCAGGTAGTATTCTTCTTTAGTATGTTTTCCTCACTTTAAAATTATATGATTAATTGAAATTGTAAAGGCTTGGACTTTTGGAGGAATGGCATGAAGGCCCTGTGGCTGGTGGAATAAGCACAGCAAGTGTGATGGGAGATGAGGTCAGAGGTGAGCTGGGCCATACTATGTATACCTTGCATGCCATGGATCAGTTTGAAGTGTATGTGTGTCTCATATAAATATTCATGTTTGTTCAAATATGTGTTAGAGATACACAGGGAAAAAATCTGAGGGGTTACATACCAAATTAATAACTTTATCTGGAAAAAAGAGAGGAGACTAGGATTGGGGCTATGGTCAGATTTAATAAAGGGGGATATAGTCCTTGCTATTTGTGGAATTCAGGGTTAATTAAAAGAGGTAGGAGGCAATAACCAGAGGAGTATGGTTTGAAACAGGGTCAGTCAGTGAGGCCTGGAGATCTACCTACTGTGCAACCCGAGAGGAAGGCAGTTCTGAGTCTGGGTACTCAAAAGAACAAAGTCCAAAAACTGGGAGTCCATTCCAACTCTAAGTTCTTAGCAAGACATTCCTGAACACTGATAACTTTCATCTACAATTTGATAAACTGAAGTGGGGAGTAGAATATGAAGCAAGGACTTTTAAAATAGTATAATAAATTATTAATGAAACTAGTAATGTTCTATTTTCATTAAAATTTGTAAGATTGTGATCTTGGAATACATACAATTGAATTTGGGTCAGTGTTGTCAGTTGACTGTGTCATGATAGAATACCTATAACGATGATATTTACCTGTACAAAGAGTATCGAACATTGTAGATTTAACTTATAAATGTTGACACCAAAAGATGTAGGTGGTGGCTGAAGAATTATATTCACTTCCGTGTTTATTTGCATGGTTTTCTAAAATTTAAGCTTAGCATACAGAACATAAAATTTATAAGAAATTGCATGTGTTTTTGAGTGTTTTCTTAAAACTGAGTATGAAAACACTTCAAAGAGTTGAAGAAATTGTAAAGAAAGATTAGAAGAACCAGATAGAGGTGACGTCCTTTCTGTTTAGTTAATGCTTATAGAACTCTTAAGTGCCTGGCATTGTTCCACATACTTTATATGTTTTAACTCCTTTAATACTGTGATGATGAAGAGTACACTGGTTAAAAAGAACCAAGAATGAGAAGAACTAAAACAATCTAACAGAAATTCTGAATAATGTAAAAAGAACACAACATAGGAAATGTGTATAGTGTGAGCACTGACATGAACTGGATACTTAGTCATTACACGTGTACCTCTTATTTCATTGTATTCAAATATGTTTTTTCAAATATGTTTATTCAAAGATGACTATTAAGTTTGCCCTTTTCAGTGACATTCAACAAATCAGAGACTTTCGGCCAGATCTTATTTTCTAAAACTTGTGTTCAGTAATCATTTTTTAGAAGTTGTATAGTTGGCCGTTAAATGTTGTATCTGATAAAAACAGTGTTGCCAATATTCTGAAATACACAATAAATGAAACCATGAAATAGGTGAATGAATAAAATGTGTTAATATTCTATTTAAAGCTATTGAAATTAGCTAGAATAACTTGGTTGTGCTCCTCTGATGAATGGTCCCGCCAACAGCAGCACTCAGTGGTTCTGGGAAGAGTCACTGTTCTGTAATGCTGTATCTGATTTGAAATGAGAGGGAATGGGGGAAGAGGGCATGAAACATAGCAAAAAATACTGATTGAAAACAAATGTATTCCACATATCACGGCTACCCATATGTTTTTTGTCCAGTAAGTTCTCCTGAAATTATGTGTTTCAGGGTTTTCCTCCAGTGTATCCCCTAAAAGAAATTCTTGTGGAATATAATTTACTTGGTTTAAAATGTTTGTGTGTATATGAGTCTATGTTTGTTTGTTTGTTTGTTTGTTTTTCAGCATTTTAAAACAACTTTTTGCCTTATTTTCCTAGGGAGTTGGTGTCTCAGTTCATGGGCAATTCCGAGTGGCTACTGAGAAGTCTCTCTTTGCAATGCCAGAAACAGCAATCGGTAAAAACCTCCAAATTTTTCATAATCATTTTTAGAATTATCTTTTGATATGTTTCAGATTACACTGTTGTTAAAGGAATTGATGGAATCTTGTTGAGATAACAGCAATGAAAGAGCTCTTTAAGAACTTAGAATAGGGGCGCCTGGGTGGCGCAGTCGGTTAAGCGTCCGACTTCAGCCAGGTCACGATCTCGCGGTCCATGAGTTCGAGCCCCGCGTCAGGCTCTGGGCCGATGGCTCGGAGCCTGGAGCCTGCTTCCGATTCTGTGTCTCCCTCTCTCTCTGCCCCTCCCCCGTTCATGCTCTGTCTCTCTCTGTCCCAAAAATAAATAAACGTTGAAAAAAAAAAAATTAAAAAAAAAAAAAAAAAAGAACTTAGAATAGGAAGACACCTGGAAGTTGTATTAGCTCAGTAATTGTATCTGAAAACACGCAAGCAAGAATATTTAATTGGCAGCACTAACAAATTGTAGTTAATTTTAGGTAAAGTATTACTAGGGGAAAATAGTCTTATATTCACATCTATGATCCTTTTTGAAATTTTTGTATATGGTATGAAATATAGATAGAAGGTCTAGGTCAAGTTTTATTATTTTACCTATAGACATGTAGTCATTCACACACTGCATTTGAAGAAAGCTATTGTTTCTCCACTGATGGCTTCTGTATCTTTATATATACTCTATTGATGCCAACCCCACCCTGCCTTTTTTTTTTTTTTTTTTTTTTTTTAATTTGGGAGAAGGCACATGTGCCGTAGCTAGTGGGAGGGAGGGTGTTATGCGTGACTCCCGCTGCTCGACAGAGCCGGCTGAGTCAATCCCACGACCCTGGGATCATGACCTGGCCTAATCAGACGTCGACACCCAACCAACTGTACCAAACAGGGTTGCCCCTCGTCTTGATTGTTGTTGCTTTATAAAGAAGTTAAGTAGTGATAACTGACTAAGCCATCCAGTCACCCCAACTTTTGGTTTTTTTAAATTATAATGTCAGTGAGCTGTCTCTTTGGGTTCATCTTTGTTTGGGATTCTTTGATTCTTGGACCTGGATGGTCCTGACTTTCACTTTTCATGGGTTAGGGGAAGTTTTCAGCCACTTCAAATATCGGGCCTTCAAGATTTTCTTAGCCTTTTCTCTCTCTTCTCCTCAGATTCTAGTGGAATATTTTCATCTTGATATATTTCCTAGAAGGCTCTAATACCCTCTTTTTTTTTAGACTGCTTTTCTTGTGGCCTGGTGGCATCTAGTAATACTTCGAATTCACATCAAGCTTCATTGTGATTCATCGGTTCTGAGCCCGTTCCGTGCCATGCGGCTGGCTGACAGCTAGGAGCCTGGCCACCTGGAGCCCCTTCTGTGTCACCCTCTCATCCCCCTCCCCCTACTCATGCTGCCTCTCTTCTCTCTCTCTCTCTCTTTCTCTCAAATAAACATGTAAATTTTTTTAAATAATTAAAAATAAATTTTTTCTTTGCTCTGTTCTTGATTGGTAGGTTTCTCTCTTCCGATGCTGACCTTGTTCTTTCTATATCACATATGTTCAGTTGTGTCTTCAGCTTGGCTATATTTCTAATCAGTGTTATGTTATGTCACCTTCTTGATTTCAGTGAGATGTCCTGTTATATGACCAATTGCATTTGAACTTCTTTTTAATTTTTTTTTTTCAATAGCGTTATTTTTTTGGGACAGAGAGAAGAGCTAAGCGACGTGGGGGAGGGCAGAGAAAGGAGAGGAGACACCTGGGAATCAGCCAGGCTCCAGGCTCCAGCTCCCTCAGCCTGGGAGCCTGGCGGGCACCGAACTCCGCAGTTCCAGCGGATGCGTCTTCTTTGAGAAGTGGACGGCTTAAACTTGACTGCATACCAAGCGCCTACTGGCTCGCATCCTGGGTAAATTACTTATCTCTGTTTCATTAAGGTCCCCCCTCCCCCACCCCAGGATTTTATCTTCTTTTGTCTGGAACATACTCCTGTGTCTCCTCCTCTTGTTTGTGTGTGTGTGTGTCCATCCTGTGAATTAGAATAGCTACCTCCCTCTTTTAGTCTTAAAGAAGTGGCCATGAGTTAGGAGCATCCTCTGTGTAGACTGGTATGTCTGGCAGCTTTGGCTGGTTGGAGTGGAGCAGACATGGGCCAGGAGTGTGCTGCTCTGGGGTTACCTTGGCAGGACAGCTGGGGCTGTGGTGGGCACCTTCAGGGGACAGCTGGAATTGTTGTGGGCTAGGAACCTGGGACTTGCTAGGGCAGCCCTACTAAGTTGACTAGAGTGCCTGGACCCTGCTCCCATCTGCACTATGAAGCTGGAGGGGGCATATAAAATGTGGTGCTTGCTGGCACCTCTGACCCCAGAGAGTTCCAGCAGTTCCCTGCCTATTTGGTGGATGCCTTAGGGTTACTAGTGGATTAACAGCTATGTTTTGTTTTGTATTGTTTTGTTTTGTTTTGCTGTGCCCAGTATTGGCGAGTCTATGCAGGGGCCCCTCCGTGACATCCCTTCTTTTGTCAAGTTATCACATTGGGAGTGGTGTTCCTGTGGTTACTATGTCTCTGTCTCTCCTACTCTTATGTATGTGGTTCCCCCTATCATTTTTTGTGCAGAAGCTGTTCAATCAGTTCTCAGTTCTTTTTCTGCAAGAATTGCTCTATATTTAGATTTAGATCTGGTATGTCTGTGGAAGAAGGCAAATTCAGGCTCTTCCTAAGCCACCATCTTGAACTGCCATCTGAAATACAATTGATTCTATACTGACTTTGTGTTCTGCAAACTTGCTAAACTCATTATTTCTAGTAGAATTTTTTTTTGTAGGCTGTATTAGATTTTTTTTTAAATTTTTTTTAACGTTTATTTATTTTTGAGACAGAGACAGAGCATGAACAGGGGAGGGTCAGGGAGAGGGAGACACAGAATCTGAAACAGGCTCCAGGCTGTGAGCTGTCAGCACAGAGCCCAACGCGGGGCTCGAACTCACGGACCACGAAATCATGACCTGAGCTGAAGTCGGCTGCTTAACCGACTGAGCCACCCAGGTGCCCCTGTATTAGATTTTTTGTATAAATAATTATACAATTTACAAATAAAGTCAGTTTTACATTTTCCTTTCCAATCTGGATAGTATTTATTTACTTATTTGTTTTTTGCACTGTATAGAACCTCCAATACAATGTTGAATAGACGTGTTGAGTGTGGGTATTCCTGCCTTGTTCTTGGTCTTAGGGAAAACATCCAGTCCTTCAAGTAGGAGGTTAGGTATAAGTTTTTCATTAGGTGCCCTTTATCAGGTGTCCTTTATCAGCAATTCCTAAATTGCTGAGGGTTTTTATTAGGAATGGATTTTGGATCTCTAAAGCCAAAACTTTTTCTGCATTAGTTGAGATGATTATTGATTTTTCCTTTTTAGTTTGTTAGTGGTGAATTACTTTGATTGGTTTTTCATTAAACTAACCCTGCATCACTAGGATAAATCTCAGTCTGATATGATGTGTTATACTTTTTATACGTTTTTAGGTTTGGTATACTAAAATTTTATTTGGAATTTTTACATCTCTGTTCATGAAAGACATTGGTCTGTGATTTTCGTGTAATGTCCTTGTTTTGTTTTGGTATGAGGGTAATGCTGGCCTCATTTTCTCAAAGAGTTTATGTAGAATTAGTATAATTTTTTTCTATCTTTGGTAGAATTCATCAGTGAAGTCATTGAGGCCTGAATTTTTCTCTGTGAGATTTTTGACTGCAGTTTCAAAGTATTTAATAGATGTAGGGCTATTCAGATTATCTATTTCTTGCAAAAGCTTTAGTACAGTGGATCTTGGAAGGAATTTGTCCAGTTTATGAGCATAAAGTTTTTTATAACATTCCCTTACCTTTTTAGTATTTTGTAGACTTTATAATGCTTGATATTAGTAATTTGTGTCTTCTCATTTTTTTTCTGATCATTCTAATTAGAGGTTTATTTATTGGTCTCAGAAATCATCTTTTTTATTTCATTTTCTATTTTCTTGTTTTCTGATCTTATCCTATTTTCTTTCTTTTACTCCTTTGGGTTTCATCTCTTCTTTCTCTAATCTCCTAAGGTGAAAGCTGAAGCCAGCGATTTGACTCCTGGGATACAATTTTATTCTATTCTGATTTTTAAATTTCAGTACTTTAAAGATGTTGTTGCATTGCTGTCTTGTTTATGTTTCCCATGAGAAATCTGCTTTCCTCATCTTTGTTCTTCTGTAAGTGTGCTTTTATTATCTCTGGCTGCTCTTAAGATTTTCTACTTATCATTTGTTTGGGACTAAATGATTATAATGTGCTGTGGTGTATTTTTCATCTTATGCTTGTGTTTCTTGAGCTTAGATTTATAGTTTTTGTTGAATTTTCCAAAGTTGACATTATTTCTTCAAGTATTTTTCTTTCCCCCACTCCCTTTACAGGAACTCCATCTAAACTTATATTAAACTCATTAACGTATTGTTTACTTTGAAAGCTTTTCATTTTTTCATTTAAATAGTTTCTATTCCTATGTCTTCAAGTTCACTAATCTTTTACTAAGTGTAATTTGCTTTAATTCCCATTCAGATATTTTTCTATTTATACATTCATCTTGGTTTTTATCTCTGTAGGTATCATTTATGTCTTTTTTATATCTTCTGTTTCTACTTAACTTTTTGAACCTATAAGATATACTTATTCTGTGTTAATGTTCTTGTTTGCTAATTCTTATGTTTATTATGTCAATTCTGTGTCAATTTTGATTGTTTTATCACCTCATGGGTAGTATTTTCCTGCTTTTTTAAATGCCTTGCAATTTTCTTTAAGTTTATTTATATTGAGAGAGAGAGAGAGAAAGCACACGTGCATGCCAGGGGAGGGGCAGAGAGAGGGGGAGAGAGAGAATCCCAAGTGGAGCCCTATTTGGGACTCAAACTCATGAACTGTGAGATCATGACTTGAACCAAAACCAAGAGTCGACTGCTTAACCATTTGAGTTACCCAGGCACCCCAGTGTCTTGTATTTTTTTTATTGGATTCTTGACATTAAAAAAATTTTTTTAATGTTTATTTTTGAGAGAGAGAGCATGGGCAGGAGAGGGGCAGAGAGGGAGGGAGACACAGAATGTGAAGCAGGCTTCAGGCTCTGAGCTGTTAGCAAGGAGCCCAACACAGAGCTTGAACTCGGGAATGGTGTGATCATGACCTGAGCTGAAGTTGGACACTCAACCGACTGAGCCACCCAGGTGCCCCTGACTACTTTACTTTATAACCACTGTTCTTATTTCACAGATGAAATATTTTCTTCTTATCTGAACCATAATTGTTTTAACAATTACTCTTTCTTCCATTCCTTCCTCTGTGCTGACTTTTACAACCCCCTTCTCTCTCCCTTTTGTCTTTGCATAAAGGGTTTCCCTCCCTTCTGTGCCTCTGCCATTTTATCTCCCCCAATTCACATACAGGCACCTCAATCCTGCCAAGCTGTCTCCCTCCAACTGTGGAGATCCTTCTGCCACTCTGCAGATCCACTTCCTTGGTGTTCCAAGTGATCTGACCTTAGTACAGCTGTGATGGAGGGATGAGGAAAATCCCAGTCACTCCACTTCTCCACCATAACTCCCTTTGTCTGATTTACATTTTATTTTTTTTTTTAATTTTTTTCAACGTTTTTATTTATTTTTGGGACAGAGAGAGACAGAGCATGAACGGGGGAGGGGCAGAGAGAGAGGGAGACACAGAATCGGAAACATGATTTACATTTTAATACCATCATTCTACTTTAAGGATAATGGATTATAGGGTTACAAGAGCAGTAGCAAGGAGACTTGTTAGGAGGTCATTATATTAATCTAGAGCTATGCTGTATAATATTATAGCTACTGGCCGCATATGGCTATTTAAATATAAATTAAATTAAAATAAATTTAGTTCATTAGTCACACCAGCCACATTTCAAGTGTTTAATAGCCACATTCTGTCTAGTGCCTACCATATTGGATAGCATAGATTATAGAACATTTTCATCATCACAGAAAATTCTTTTAGATAGCACAGGTCTAGAAGAGGGTGATTTTGGCTTGGGGTAGTATGGAACTATATGTTGGAATAAAATAGATTTGAAAAATGTTTTGGAGTGAACTGGCTTACTCATGTGATGAATCAGGAATAATTCCAAGGTGTTTAGCTTGTGTGGCTGGATGGATGAGGCTGATTAGGGAAGGAGCCATGTAGTTAGAGGGTTTGGGAATCATATTGTGTTTTTGCCATGTTATATTTGAGGTGCTTATTATCCATGTGCTTGTGTCTAGAATGCAGATCTAAAGAGTTTCCTATTCAAGGGAAAAGGCATAAGTTAGATATATAGATTTGGAAGCGTATTGGTCTGTTAGGGCTGCAGTAACAATACTACAGACTGGTGATGTAAACAACATTTACTTTTCACAGTTCTGGAGGCTGGAAGTCTAAGACCAACGTATTGGAAGGTTTGGTTTCACCTGAGGCTTCTCTCCTTGGCTTCTGGATAGCTGCCTTCTTGCTGTGTCCTCACATGGCCTTTCCTGTGTGTCTGTGCTTCTAGTGCTGTTGTCTTCTTCTTATAAAGATCAGTTGTACTGGATTAGGGCCTAGCATTATAACCTCATTTAACTTTATCTTTTTAGAGGGCCTATATCCAAATTGTCACATGAGGGGGGGGGGGGGGG